GTAAATACTAAATGTTAAACATTATTGTGCAGCACATAAGATCAACAGAACACAGTGTGCTTTGAGGTAGGAGCCAAAAAGGGTGTAGTTTGTGGGGGAGTTTCGGGAGTTTCAGACGAGCGAGGGAATGAGACCCTCTGTTGTTTGGATTTCCCTCTTGAACAAAATGTTATATATCACACAAAGCAGGGATAGTATATTAAAATGCTCAACAGGTTTTGTGGTATCAGTTATTGCACAGCAAACTGCAGAATTAATAAGACAATTATTTTATTTTTGTTTTTTTAGTGGTCTGCCCATGAGGCCTTTTAGATTTCCATCATCTGCTGCTTTTTTCCTCAGCATAGTGGTGCTGGCATCACCTAACACAATACCAAGAAAATACAAATTACACTGAATAATATCCTGACGTGCAGTAACTGCAGGCAATAACATGCCAGCATAGTATTGACTACATGTTCATCTTATATTACCAGAAATAAGGTTGCATGCTTGTGAGTAAGAGCTTAATTAGTGAACTCCGTGTGTGCTTATGACAGCCGGATAGCACACATGTGGGTGACTGACGGGGCTGTTGATCAATGCTGATGACTCAGAGATTACTGAACCAATATGTTGGCATTTGAAGCCAATCTGGACTCACTCAACAAACCATACTCTGGTGGACAAACACACCCCCTCCTCCCTAACATGCAGACATATCATCAGCTGCCTAATGATGAAGGGTAGAAGATGACAAAGTGACGTGAACCCATTTGTTTAAGTCCTAAACTGTGAAAATGTTATTGTTACCGTTCAATGATCGATCATCGTCACCTTTAAGTGGTTCTATTGGATCTCTTGTGAGATAAGGCTGTTTTGTGTCCATTACCATTCTGCGTACAGTGGAGCAGACTGCCATCTGTGTTTTTGATCTACCTTAGTCTTCTATTTGATCAAACAACAGCCGAGGCAAAAAGCCATCAATTGTGATTGTGACCTGCTGCTTTCATTTTGTCTACTGCTTATTTTGCACCCTATTATCATTTGTCTATAAAAAATTAAACTGCTGAAAGAGTCTTTCTGAAAGATTACCAGATTGCTTTGGACACACGGTTTTAGCTCAACAAACAAAACATGCTGAGAGTGAAATTAGATGGACGTTAGATAGAAGATTTTGATTTAAAATCCCCCAAATTCATATTAAGTTGTCAAATTTAATTGGGAGAAGAAACAGGACACTATCCTGCTGTATAACTACTTGCACAACAGTGGCCCATGGAACTGCAATTAAAGTAATAGAACAAGCTCAGAATCCCAGGTAATGAAGCTGGGAAGACAAGATGTCCTTGTTAGCTAGCTTGTCAAATATCTGTGTGTTCTCACAGATTTTCGGTAACTTTTCTGCGACATGTTCACTGATAATTCCTTGCTGCTGTCAAGAAGTATTACGTTCAGCTCGCACAGTACTTCTAAACAAGCTGAACTGTAGGTAAATGCTTTGAAGGCCTCTAGTTTCAGCTGCTAGGTCACTGACGGCTGAGCGACAGCGTGAACTCTGACGTTTTAGCGAATCCCAGGCTCTTCATCTAAATACAGAATGACTTGTTTCTTCCAGGATTCAATCTACCCTTTAATAGCATTTTCTGGGAGTCAGTGACTCAATCAACACCTAAGAAATATCCTTTAAACACCTCGCCAATTCCATTGATTGCAACTGTCTGTGCCGCTCAGTTTGACAACTAGTTTGATTTGAAGTCACAGAAAAGTTGGAGCAACAAAGTGCTTCTTTTCATTTTTGAAGAGAAGAGAATCAAGCAATTCATGTCAGTTTCTCCCCCATGTAGTCTTTGACTATATTAAAAACTTTTTATCCAGCTGCGTGGCTACACCTGAGACAACACGACATACATGAGACGCACAAGTTGTAAACAACACTAAGGGCCAATTATCCAGCAGTATGATGTATAGCAGGGTGGAGAGAAGCAAGCATCTGCTGAAAGCGTGCTCACTTCACCATGTTGGCTTTTTTCATAAATGCTGCATTTATTCATGGTTTGAAGACGGGAGATAATGATAACTC